GAAGTAAAATAAAGATGACTCCAAGGCAGAGAAGAGTAAATGTATGTGGCCAACACACAACTTTCACAAACTAAGTACCATATTACATATCATCTCAAAACTTAGTGACCTAAAACAACAATGATGTATTACTTCCCATGACTCTGTGAGTTGACTAGGCTCACAAAGAAACAGGGCAGTTACTCTGCACAACATTGTGTCACTGAGACACTCACTTGACTGGATTCAGTAGGGAGCCCAGTTGAGCCAAGATGGTCTCTCATCTTCCAAGGTCTCTCTCATTACTCAGTAGTAAAGCCCAGTCTTAAGACTACCTCAGTTAGGGTGCCTGGGTGGCTCAGTTGGTTGAGCGACTGCCTTCGGCTCAGGTCATGATCCTGGAGTCACAGAATCGAGTCCCGCATCGGGCTCCCTGCTCAACAGGGAGTCTGCTTCTCCCTCTGACCCTCCCCCCTCTCATGCTCTCTCTCTCTTTCTCTCTCTCAAATAAATAAATAAAATAAAAAAACCTAAAAAAAAAAAAAAAGACTACCTCAGTTAATGGAGCTACATAATTGGCTGAATTTCCTGCCAATCAAGACAAATTCTCCAATTTTCCCTCTTACCTAGTATTCTCATCAACACATCTGCCTGCAGGACATGCCTATCTTTACTCCTGAAGTTTGTTATCATTAAGGGGAGAAATTTTGAGAAGGGACTGGAGGAACTATCTGGTCTGTCACAGCTCCCAAACAGAAAATGTTTCCACAGATGTAACAGCAGGAATCATGATGACTTCCAGGAGCACATTTGCAACTTCTAACTTCTCCATCAAAACAAAAGTTTAGAGCATTGACATGCACCTTTTATCAGGGGATGGAATAAATATTAGATATTCATTGACTTAGTGTGCTCTTGTGAGTTTAAATGAAAATCTATAGTATGAGTAAATGACTTAAGAGTATAATAAAAAATATATAGAATAATAAAATATGACTTCTAGTTTTACTTCAGCCATTACTTTACTGTACAAGCTTAAACACATCATTTGGCCTTTCTGATTCTCTGATCCTTGCTATGGATCGAATGGTCGTGTCCCCCCCTAAATTTATATGTTGACCCCCCATCATTGTGATGGCATTTGGAAACGGGGCCTTTGGGAGGTAATCAGGATTAGATGAGGTCATGGGGGTGGGACTCTCATGATGGTATTATGGCTTTAGAAGAAGAGGAAGAGAGAGATCTCACCCCCTCCAGCATGTGGGGACATGGCAAGAAGAAAGTTGTCTGCAAACCAGGAAGAGGGTCCTTACCAGAAACTGAATCAGCTGGCACCTTCATCTTGAACTTCTCAGCCTCCAGGACTGTAAGAAATAAATGTCTGCTGTTTAAGGCCCCAAGGCTATGGTATTTTGTTGTAGCAGCTCAGGCGGACTAAGACAATCCTCTTCCATAAAATGAGCCAGAGGAATGAGAGATCTCTAAAATCCTTTCTAGCTAAAATTATATTCTATTGTTTTATTTCCTCTGTAAAGGAAATAAATATTGCCAAGTAAATATTGCCTGGCCATTGTTAAAGAGGACAGTCAAAGAAAATCAATGTAAAAATCATCTAAAGAGTAAAAATAATTTCCATCCCAAAGCAAGTACTTGGAAATCATTTCAGAAAACACAGATATTCTACTTATTAAAACTTCATAGCACATCTGAGTCCATCACTATTCCAGTACTATGACTTAGAAAAAAAAGTCAAGCCTGCCTACTTAGAGAAATCAGAAATCATTCATCCAGAAAACTACACAGAAACGGGGGAATAATCTTTGCATTGATAGTTACTGTTACCTTGCCTTGGCAATCCAGTGTAAAAAATATTTGTTGGAAGAAAAAATAAAGGAGTACTAAAATGCAGACATTTCATCACTTAACCCATAATTGTCATAACCTGATAATCTTTTAATCTATCTCTCTCTTACACATACATGCACAAAAATATAAAGCACTTCTCAGCAAAAAGTTGACAAACCTAAGAATAAAATAAATCTTTTTTCATTATTTCATTAATAAGATGAAAGTCTATTTTTGGTTCTAAAAACTATAAAGACAAAAGTATTTTAACATCCAATTTCCTCTTTAAACAATAATATCCCCATAAGAATACGTTAAAAATCAAAATGCACGTTCAAGTCCAGGTCAGTGACTTATGAGTTAATTCAGAAGTAGTTATTTTCGACTCTGAAGCCCTTTGTGACTCCCAAATTGTAGTATGGAATTAGAAAGAAAGGATCCAGTGATGACTGAACTTTTTCTCTTTTTGTCATTTTAATGTATCAAAAAAAAATCAGATTTCCAAATTACCACATCAGCAGCAAATCCCACTAAGATCATAAAAAAATAGACTTTTTCTAAGTCTCTCCAAATTTATCCCCATGGTGTCGATATAATATGGTGTCTTAAGGGTATATTACACCATAAAACACACAAATAAAATTAATTGATTTATCAACATAGAAAGAGCAAGTATTTACATATCAAGGGAGATTGTCAGTTAAAGACTCATAAATCATAAGACAAAGAGGAACCCTGAAAGCCAGCTTTTCAATCCCCTTCCCCCTACCTTGGCAGAGGCATGTCCTGCAGTGATTTTCCACTTGGATATAAAGTAATTAGCAAGCCTAGCCTGCTCAAATTAAACAATTGTAAGAAAAATAGCATTGGAATAATTAGGACAATTACCACCCTTATCATCTGATTGCGTATATACACAGTACATAACACAGTGATTTACCTAAACCACCCCAGACTGATTTATGTGGGGGTTTTCAAGTAGATAATGAACAAAGAAGATAATTCAGATAAAAGTCTACCATTCCTTCACCAAATATTTGTGCCAGACATTTAGCAAGAACTAGAAGCACAGTAATGAACAAATAAGACACGGACTCTGCCCTTCATGGAGTTTTGAGAGGGAGAAAGGAAGAGAAAACTAAATTTAATTTTAACATTAATTTAAAGAGAATATGTGAAACTTTATTATGGTTACTTATTGATTTGCCCCATATTGTGAGCTCCTCAAAGACATGAATAAAAATCTTTCCATATCTTTCATGGACTATGAAAAAATAGAGTTGGTGCTCAATGTATCTTTATATATATATATATGGACAAACTGGTCTAAGCTTCAGGAACACCCTTCTTTACATTTTTCATTTCTAATATGATACACAATCTTCATAGGTAAAGGAGGTAAAAAGTCTTGAATATTTTTTTGTAATCTGCCTTGAAATATATCCAAATATAGCTAATCCATTTGTTTGCCATGGATATGCACAGGGGAACACCCAGTGCAGTGCTATGAACTTACCAACACTCACAAATGTCAGATGAATAAACTGAAGTATGAATCAACAAAGCAATAGGTAAACATGGGCATGGAATTCCAAAGTATCCATTTCACAACTTTGGTAGCATTAAGAAGAACTTCAGGAAACATGGATCATTAATTAGACTTTGGCCCTCATCTGGCCATCAGTGTATTGGCAAGCTCACTCTCTGTGTAGTGTGTATCTGCAAGATACAGGTTTATGTATAATATATTGCATCAATAGTATATATAGTCTCTTGAGAAATTCCTAATTCATAGTCCTTCTTTCTGCTCCACTTGTGATAATTGGTTCTTCACATTATAATTCAAAAGAGTTCTATGACTTCTAAGACTTCTACAACCAATCTGTTAAACCATAACTCACCTCCTTTAGGTCTTTGCTTCTTAATAAGGCTTACCCTAACGACTTCATTTAAAATTATACCTCCTCCAGTGCAGCAAACTCTCTCTCCCTTACCTTGCTCTATTTTTCTTCAAAGGCCTTATCATTGTCTCTTGACCTATAACCTCTCATTTAGTATGCAGCTTCCATGTAAGGGAGGTATTTCATCTTTGCTATTCATTGCTGTATTCTCAGCACCTAGAACAGTGCTTTTGGCACATAGCAGGTTTTCAAGAATTATTTGCTGACTGAATGATTGCCTGACCCCAAAAAAACAAAGTCTCCAATTTACTCCAAGGTCATTATAGGGCTGGCTGTCATACCAATTGTGACAGTTCAATCGGTATTCAGTAAACTTGAGTGACTCTAGCCTTAATTTTTCTTTTGCAGACCAGAAATATGGAACTACTTTGTCTCCCAAAGACACCAGCCTACCTCCCTCCTTTCTATCTTTCCTCCTGTTTTCCTTCTTCCAGGAGTATCCTTTTATCACCCAAACCCTACTCTCCCTAGATAATTCCTGCTAATTCTTTAAGATACTGTGTGCCCAGGATCTCCTTATCTGAATATCCATGACATGGTCCTTAGGCATCACAGCCCTAAATCCTAAGGTATCATTGCATTTTGCATTGAAATTATTCGTTACTTGTCTCTCTCTTCAACCAAACTGTAATCTCTTATAGGACATAGATTGTCTTATTCCTTTCTGCATGAATTCAACACAATAGGAGCTGAGTGAATAACAGAAATGAACTGAGTTCAGTGCTCTTAGGAGTCAACATCAAGTGATTCCAATAGAAGCAGGTGGTTTAGAGGGAAATGCAGGAAGTCCAAAGACCCGGATTCTAGTACTATCTCTGAACACTGTTTTTAAATCTGTAGAAGAGGATTAAACCAGTGCTAAGGCCACTTTCAAAACCATAAGACTGTATTACATGTAACCTAATGAAAAGTAGTTATTAAAATGTCAGGTTTTCATGCTCCATCTGCTGGTTAAATTGTAGAAAAACCTTGAGGTCATTCTGAAATTGAAAAGTGGAGTTAGAAATATTTGTGACCAACAAGGAAAAAAAATTTTTTTAATTGTCTGTACTATTTATAAAAGACTAATAACCTAGAAATCAAAGAGTTGAGAAAGAAAAATAAACATTGACAATTGCATGATGATAGTGAAAAAAAACAAATACCCTGCTACTTCTGGCTCACATACATACTGTGGATCCCAGCCTCCAGGGAGCCCCACCTGCTTATACTCACCCTCTTGTGTAATCACCCCACCAACACTGTACCAGGGCTGGTCTCTATGAACAATGGCATCCAGCAGAAGTGACGGCATGTCACTTTCCAGACTAAGGTATAAAAACTGAGGTTTTCATCTTAGATATGCTCCCTCTCTCTCTCACTCTCCCTCTCCCCCCACTCCCTTTTCTCTTTATCTCTCCCTCTTTTGGACCACTTTCTTTGATGGAGTTACCCAGCTATCATGACATGAGGACACTCAGGCAGCCCATGGAGAGGCCAATGAAGTAAAGCATCCAAATACTTTTTAAAAAGAAGTAAAATTATCTTTGTTTGCAGATAATATGATCTTATATAGAAAAAAATCCTAAAGATTCCAATAAAAACCTGTTAGAACTAATCAATGAATTCAAAGATGCAGGATACAAAATCAACATATAGAAATTAGTTGCATTTCTATATACTATAACAAAATATCTAAAAAAGGAAGAAAACAGTCCCATTCACAGTAGTATCAAAAGCAATAAAATACTGAGGAATAAATGTAGACAAGGAAGTGAAAGAGCTATACATTGAAAACTACAAGATGTTGGTGAAAGAAATAGAAGAAGACACAAGTAAATGGAAAGATAGCCATGCTCATGGATTGGCATAATTAATATTGTTAAAATGTCCATATGACCCAAAGCTACCTTTGATTCAATGCAATCCCTATCAAAATCCCAATGGTATTTCTCACAGATATAGAAAAAACAATCCTGAAAGTCATATGAAATGACAGAAGATCCTGAATAGCCAAAGGAATCCTAAGAAAGAAGAACAAAGCAGGAGGCGTTACACTTTTTGATTTCAAACTATACTACAAACCTATAATAATCAAAACAGTATGGTACAGCATAAAAATAGACATATAGACCAATGGAACTGAATTGAGAACACAGAAATAAACCTATGCCTGTATGATCAGTTAGTTTACAATAAAGGAGTCAAGAATATACAATGGGGAAAGGGTAGTCTCTTCAAAAAATGGTGCTGAGAAAACTGAATATCATGCAGAAGAATGAAATTAGACCCTGATCTTATACCATTCACAAGAATTAACTTGAAATGAATTAAAGACTTAAACATAAGACCTAAAACCTTAAAACTTTCAGAAGAAAACATAAGGATAAAGCTCCTTGACATTGGTCTTGGCAACAATTTCTCGGATATAACATCAAAAGCATAACCTACAAAAGCAAAAATAAAAAATGAACAAGTAGGACCACATCAAACTAAGCTGCCACACACAGCAGAAAAAACAATAAACAAAGTGAAAAGGCAACCTATGAAGTGTGAGAAAATATTTGCAAGTCATATATCTGATAAGGGGTTAATATCCAAAACAATAAGAAACTCGTACAAGTCAATAGCAAAACAAACAAACAAACAAAACAACAATCAATTCGATTAAAAATTGGGCAGAGGATCTGAACAGACATTTTTCCAAAGAAGGCATCCAAATGGCCAACACATACATGAAAAAATGTGCAATATCACTAATCATCAGAGAAATGCAAATCAAAACCATGATGAAACATCACCTCACACCTGTTAGAATGGTTAGAATAAAAAAGACAGGAAATAAGTGCTGATGAGGATGTTGAAAAAAGAGAGCCCTTGTGCACTGCTGATGGGAATGTAAACTGGTACGGCCACTATGAAAAAGAGAAGAAATTAAAAATAGAATTACTATATGATCTAGCAATCCCACCTCTGTGTATATATCCAAAGGAGGATATATATGAAATGAGGATCTTGAAGAAATGTCTGTACCTCCATGTTCACTGCAACATTATTCACAATAGCTAAAACATGGAAATGACCTGTGTCCTTCTGTGAATGAATGGATAAAAAAATTGTGGTTTACATATACAATGAAATATTATTCAGCCATGAAAAAGAAGGAAGGGCTGCCATTTGCAACAACATGGGTTGACCTTGAGAGAGTTATGCTAAGTGAAATAAGTCAAAGAGAGAAAGACAAGTACTGCCTGATATCACTTATATGTGAATTCTGAAAAAGCAGAACTCAGAGTAGTATGGTGGTTGCCAATGATTAGGAGACAGGGGAAGTTGGGAGATGTTGGTCAAACAGTACAAACTTCCAGCTATAAAATTAGTAAATTCTGGGGATCAAATCCATAGTATGGTGATTATAGTTAACAATATTGTACTATGTACTTGAAAGTTACTAAGTTACTTGAAAGTTACTAAGAGATTAGAGCTTAAAAGTTCTCACCACAGAGGTGCCTGGGTAGCTCAGTTGGTTGGTTAAGAGTCTGCCTTTGAACCAGGTCCTGGGATCAAGCCCCAAGACCGGCTCCCTGTTCAGCAGGGAGTCTGCTTCTCCCTCTCCCTCTGCCCCTCCCTCCCCACTCGTTCTCTCTCTCAAATAAATAAATAAAAATCTTTAAAAAAAAAAAATTTTTTAAGTTCTCATTACAAAAAGGAATGGTAATTATATGAAGTGATGGAAATGTTAGCTAACCCACTATGGTCATCATTTTGCAATATATGAGTGTATCAAATCATCACATTGTACACCTTAAACTTATACAACGTTATATGTCAATTATATCTCAATAAAGCTGGAATAAAATAAAATAAAATAAAATAGAATAGAATTTTAGTTTCTGGCCACCAGGAGCCAGGGGGGCTTGGAAGCTGATCCTCCCCTCATTGAATCTTCAGAGAGACTGACAGCAGGTCAAACTGTTAGCTTGACCTCATGAGAAACCCTGAGCCAGAACCACCCCGCTCAGCCATGCCCAATTATTTCCCCCCAAGAAACTGTGAAAAAAAATTGGTTTGTTTTTAAGCTGTTAGATTGTGGAGTTATTTGCTACACAGCAATAGATAACCAATATACACCCATGCATCTGAGACTCATTCAAATCTGTACCGAACACTCACATGTTCAATGAATGTGGCTTGACCTTTTAACATGAAATCGTACATACCCATCTTTCTCAGAAATGTTACTCTTTCTTCACACGTGCATTATGTTTTCAGATACACAGGTTTCACTAGAATAAGAACTCAGAAGTAGAGAGATGTAAAGACCATGGGATATATTCTGGAGACTTTTTACTAATATCAATATCCAAGAGAAGATTATAGGCCTTAAAAAACATAGTTTGTCATTATTTTGTAGTATGTAAGTAATATGTATAAACCTCAGTGAAAGTCACAGTGAACTGTAATTATGTGTTTTTTCAACTCCAGTTTAGCAATAATACATCAATTCTGTATTCACTTTTTCAAGTCTACCATCTTACCAAAGAATAAATATCCACAGACTCTTATTTCTCATTTTCTTTATTGCCATTAACAAACTTGCCTACTGATGCTATGTAGGTGAATGAGAAGCCAAAGTGAAAAGAGATACATAGAGGTGATTAAGGCGATAACACAAGGTAAAGGTATTGTGTTATCTAGAAACTTTTGATAAAATTTTCTAGTGAGATTTGGATTTAATGTTTAAAACCTCAAAACCTTAGAGATAAAAATAAATTCAAGTTGGCTTAAAGTTTAAGAAGCATATAATAGATACAGATTCCCAATCTAGTTGATGACTTTTAATGAATTAAAATGGAGAGAGACCAGAAAAGCAAACAAAACCTCTTAGCCATGTTCAAAAATCATAGAGAATCATGAAAATGAATTTTTTCTGAGGCAGGGAAAAGGGAGGCAAATGATTATTCAAATATCTAACTCTCCATTAAAACATTTGGCAGCACCTTTAACATATTGCAAAATTTGACTAGACCATTATGCAAAGAAATATTTCTTCAAGGGTGACCATCTGTTGCAAAGAAGAGAAAAAAGCAAGGATGAAGACATAGCTGTCAGGAGAACTTTGAGAAGTTCTCTTTAACATTCTTAAAGGGTCTTGATATCCTCTCGTTCTAGAAGTCTAAACTGCATGCCTGCTTCCCCACCTGGTGAAGTGGCCCATCCTAGTGTGCTTACTATAAGACTAAGTAAATCAAAGGTCAATTTTCAGACTTTCATACTCCATTGGGCTCAGGCTTTTTTTTAATTATTCTTTTTTTTTAGGGGGGCAGTGAGGGGCAGAGGGAGAAGGAGAGAGAGAATCCCAAGCAGGCTCCATGCCCAGCACAGAGACCAATGTGGGGCTCCATCTCACAACCCTCATATCATGACCTGAGCCAAAATCAAGCGTCAGATGCTTAAACCAATTGAGCTATCCAGACGCCCCAGTGGGCTCAGGCTTTAAACCTGACTGAATTTTATTTCGACAGGCCTAATAAACTTGGAGAGTTATACTATCCCCTCCCATAAACTTCAAAAAATGAAAGTTTGCCCTTCCAGCCTTGGCCTTTATTTCTAGACCATGTATGCAGTAATGGAAGCAGAACAATAGACTCAATGGTGTGATAAGTTTCCCTCGTTTTAATTTGGGAGAATAGACTACCTATAATTGTCTTGCCTATTATAAGCCACTTATACTAATCTATAGCTCATTACTTTTTTAAAGATATAATTCCAATGACCTTGGTAATAGGGAATGGGGGTAGAGGTGCCATAAATAGAATTTAAAAAGCTAAGCTCCAAGGAGATATTAGGGCAAGGCCACGTCTTGTCCCCTGTGACATCACCCTGAGATGACTTTCTGCCTGCAGACCCACAATTAGAACACCATTCAAGTATACAGAATCAGACCCCCTATTTATGAATGAATCACATTTGTTTCTTCTACTATAGAATCAGAATCAAAGAGGCATATCTGCCAGAAATACCACATAAATGAATATTTGACAAATAGCAGGAGAGCAAATAATGGGTTATCCATAATTGTCTGCAAATGCCTCAAAGAAAAATGAAACCTCAAAATATCCAACCTAGCACTTATCTACTACATGTTTATGCTAAGATTATCACCACCTAAAAATACCCAAAGATCAAATGTTCAGCTCCTCGCAGTACTTAGCACATTTTCTTGTGCATAATAGATGCTCAATAAATATTTGTGGGAGAGGGAAGGAGGAAGCAAAGAGTAAGTTGGCAGGGAGACACAATGCAGCTAACAAT